AAAGTTTGGGCCCAGGGTGCCAGCTGTTGCCACATGGGGGAAGAGGAGGGGCCTGAGGGCTTAACCCCTGGACAATCCTGGCCGCGAGTGGCTCGCCTCTGCCACCTGCAGGACGCACCGCCTAACAGCGCCGTCCCCATCTGAGCAGAGACTAGCGAAAAGGAGCCGGGCCTGGGAATTTGACCCTCTGACCCACAGGTCCCCAGGTCTGTTCCCTGTCCCAGTGTTCTGGCCGGAGGATGGGCAGCAAGTGGTGAGGGGCATCCTGGCTGTGGAGGGGACGCCCTGTTGACCTCGGTGGTGGGCGGAGGGCTCAGGGAGGGGCCAGAAGCAGAGGGTCTGCCCATGCAAGCTGGAGGACTGCAGAGTGTCTGAGCAGGGGGTCCTCCAGGGAGGGGCTCATCAGCAGCCCCTTCCCCCGCTCCAGGGGTGGATGAGGCCCGCAACAGCTTTCTTTACTTGGGCCAAGCCAGGGGAACAGGTGGTTACTTGGCAAGACCACACCAGCCCTGCCCGTGCAATGCCCCACCCCCAAGCTGAGTATCAGGGCTGCAGGGAGCTCAGGCCCAGGGAACCCCCAGGGAGGTGTAGCACTGGGCACAGCTGGCCCCTGGGACAGGCCTCGCCCACCTAAGCCCAGGTGGACTGCAGGCAGGAGGCCGCAGCCCAGGCTCCAAACCACATAATGTTGGCACAGGAAGTCCCAGATGAACAGCCCCAGCCTCGCAGCTCTGCAGATAGGGGGCAGCTGAGGCCCAGGCAGAGATGGGAAGGGCCACCCTCAGGGCCTGATCCCTGCTGGTGGACGTGGGGCCACCTGGCCTCAGCCGAGGGCAGAACCAGGGGCCTCCTGCAGCAGGTGTAAGGGGCTGCAGGCGTGAAGGGCAGGGGTTGGCTGGAACTCTTTGCTCCCCTTGGACCTAGCATTGGAGCAAAGAAAGCAACAAATTAGGATGTCTTAACAGCCGGGGAGACTTGGGGCGGGGGGGGGGGGGCTGTTTTTAACCCCGCCTTTGCCCAGGGAAGAGCCTGCCTAACCCTTGGTCCAGTCCCCGGCCCCCAGTCCCAAGGCAAGGCGCTCCTTCTCCATGCTGGCAACACCTGTTTGCCCTCCAAAAAAAAAAAAATGTCACGGACCCAGAGGGAGACAGGTACATGGGAGTGGGGGAGGGAGGGGTCCAGGCGGAGGCCCTGGGAGCAAGAAGAGACCACGCTTCCCACTCCTGACACCAAGCCCAGAAACTCGAAGGGTAGCGGGAGATAGAGTTCTTTCGGCTTTTGGCTTCTCGGGCCCGCTGCAGGGCGCGATGGCCCCAAGCGAGCAGGGCAGGCGGGAAGGGGGCGTGCACGTAGGAAGCCCCGTGCCCCCCGGGGGCAGCAGCAACGGTTAGCAATCAATAAATTAAAAGTCTCCATCACAGACGGCGACAAATAAAATCCTCACGCCGCCCGCGATGCGCGCAAAGCCGCGGTCGCAGAATCTCATCCCTCGATGAGCAGTGCGAGAGGGCAGGGGTCAGAGACGTGTCCATCACGGCCCCGAGCTGCCGGGCGGAGGTTCCAAGCCGTCTCCCCAGCAGGGGTCGGCTCCCCAGCCGGGGTCGGCTCAGTGTCCTCTCCCACTTGCGGTGGAGCCTGCCCTTTCCCGGCGTCTGTTTGAGACACAACAGAAGCAGGTGCACAAGGGAGAGCGGGCGGAGCCGCAGCCGGGGAGAGGACGGGGCTGGTTTGATTCGTGTTGTTGTCGTCTTCCAGACAAGCAGAGACTGTTGGCGACTGACCGGGAGCCGGTGGTGGCTTCAGGCGGCAGTGGGTGGGTTCGGGGCAGAAGTGGGTGAGTCGGGGCCTCCCGCATCAAGGGCAGCGAGCTGTATAAGGAGGCCGAGGGAGGCTGGGCAGCTCAGGGGTGTTGGGGCAGAGGCAGCCTCAGGGCACAAAGGAGGCGTGTGGTTCCCAGACATCTGCAAGACATAAGGCAAGGTCACGGTCAGAGCTGACCTACTCCGGGATGCTCCGTATTTCCTGAAAAGCAAACCAGTTCCCCACACTGTGGCATAGTCAGGTAACCCACCGCCTGCAGCATTGGTTCATCCCCCAGCTACTCCACTTCTGATCCAGCTCCCTGCTATTGCACCTGGGAAAGTGGCAGGTGACCCCAGTGCTTGGGAGACCCAGAAGAAGCTCCTGGTTCCTGGCTTCAACCTGACCTAGTCTTGGCCATTGAGGCTACTTAAGGAGTGAACCTCTGCTAGGAAAATGTCTTTCTAACTCTTCCTTTCAAATAAATTTTATTAAAATGATAATAATAATAGGGCCCAGTGCAGTAGCCTAGTGCCTAAAGTCCTCGCTTTGCACACACCAGGATCCCATATGGTGCCAGTTCTAATTCCGGCAACCCCTCTTCCCATCCAGCTCCCTGCTTGTGACCTGGGAAAGCAGTTTAGGACGGCCCAAAGCCTTGAAACCCTGTACCCGCGTGGGAGACCCAGAAGAGGTTCCTGGCTCCTAGCTTCAGATCAGCTCGACTCTGGCCATTGCGGCTGCTTGGGGAGTGAATCATTGGACGGAAGATCTTCCTCTGTCTCTCCTCCTCTCTGTATATCTGACTTTACAATAAAAGTAAATGAATTTAAAACAAAAAAGATATATAGCATATAGCACATTTTTCTGTAGCGGCAAAGGGAAAAGCCAGCAGGAGAGAGGGCTGCGTAGGGGGGACGTGTCCACGGCATGACGGGATGTGCGGGCACCCAGGGAGATGCTGACACACAGCTCATGGTCATGATGTGTGACAGGTGATCTGGACCAGCCCAGCTGTTGTGCACATGTGGGAAGGGAACCCATGGACGGAAGCTCGCTCTTGCTTGTCCATGCTCTCTGTCCCTGCCTTTCAGAAGGGATGAATAAGCAAACATATTTAAAAAGACGGAGGGGCTGCCACTGTGGCACGATGTGTTTAAGCCAGCACCTGCGACTCCGGCATCCCAACTCCAGAGCGCTGGTTCGAGTCCCGGCTACCCTACTTCTCACTCCCTGCTAACGCACTCGGGAAGGGAGCAGAGGACGGCCCAAGCTCGGCCCTGCCACTCATGTGGGGAGTAAGCCAGAGGCGTGATCTCTCTGCTTTTCAAATAAATAAAAATGAATAAATCGACATTTAAAAAAAAGAGATGGAAAGAGCCCACATGTCCAGCACAGACAAACAGATACACAAAAGCTGGGGTGTTCTCCAGGCACGATGAGGATGGACCCCAGACACCTGCTGAGGACCAGAGAACCCCAGAACAGGTCACACCCCATGCAGTACTTTGGAACACGCAAAGCCAGACAAGCATGAGAGCGAGATAAAGCTTGTCGCGGCTGCCAGGGGCCCAGGGGTAGGGAGAGAAAAATGGGGAGACAAGAGACAGAGCTCTCCCATGCCCAGGTTCACTCCCCAAGTGCCCATAACAGCCAGCCTGGGCCAGGCTCACCAGGAGCCAGAACCTCCACCGTTCTCCACGTGCACTGCAGGGACCCAGCACTGGGTCCAGCCTCCGCTGCCTCCCAGGTGCACTGCGGGGGTGGGAGGGGGCTGGGTGGGGAGCAGAGGGGAGACAAAGCCGGGCTCCGTGAGACGGCATGCGAGCATCATGCACGTCGGCTGAACTCTCCACACCACAGCACACACGTGCCCTCAGCAGACATGTTCTAAGCCCACTGGGCACAAGGGAGGGTGTGGCTGACTGTACCTGGAGCCCTGCTCACACCACACCCTCGCTCCCTGCTGAGAGACAGGTTCAGCAGTTGACTGAAGAGGATCCGTCCGAGTGATTGCTCCCTGGGCAGCAGGGGCAGGTGGACAGGACCAAGAACGCCCCGCACACCGACCCCGCAGTCCGGAGACCTGGCTGCAACCGTCAACTGGCTGTTTCGAAAGAGCCAGCAGACAGGATTCGGTTGTGAGGTGACACGCCAGTGACTGCCACGTGCGTGTGCTGAGGTCACACTGCACCCTCGGACCTATGTGACCGTGCCCATCGCCAACAGAACATCTCGGGAAAACGGCGAACATGGAGCTATCACATACAACAAAAGCCACAATCCACCCTGCTGACTGCAAATAATAAACTTCCCTGGCCCAGCCACTAGTGCAGCTCCCAAGTCCTGCATCCCATGAGAGCGCCTGCTGGCTCAAGTGACTTTCAGCACCGGGTGTACGGGTACTCGCACAGGCCTTGAGGGTCAGGCCCCGCCTGCCCACCCCGAGGCACCACAGAGAAGAGGCAGAGAGATGCAGAGAGAGAGAGAGGGCAGGAAGATGGCATTCCATGGGCAACACAGACCGGGCTGGCCCAGTAGTCACTCAGCACTCAGAGCCAGTTCAGCTGCAGAGGGCTCCAAGCCCCAGGGGAGTCTGAGGCCAGGCGGCCACAGCTCAACTTGTCCACTGGCCACTCAGAAACAAGGTGGGACACTCCTGCCACCCCAGGCCCCTGGCACTGACCAAGAACCAGGATTCCCTACAGCTGCAGGAAATTGTTCCACTAGCTACAGAATGCCCAAAGAAGCAACTCAGGCCGCCCAGCACACCCTGACCCTCTGGCCTCCCCTCCCTGCCCTGCTCCTCATCCTGGCTGGACCCCTTCCCTTCCTGCCCTGCCCCTCATTCCGGCTGGACCCCTTCCCTCCCTGCCCTGCCCCTCATCCTGGCTGGACCCCTTCCCTTCCTGCCCTGCCCCTCATCCTGGCTGGACCCCTTCCCTCCCTGCCCTGCCCCTCATCCTGGCTGGACCCCTTCCCTCCCTGCCCTGCCCCTCATCCTGGGCGGACCCCTTCCCTCCCTGCCATGCCCCCGACCCTGGGCGGACCCCCTCCCTCCCTGCCATGCCCCCGACCCTGGGCGGACCCCCTCCCTCCCTGCCATGCCCCCCACCTTGGGCAGAACCCCTCCCTCCCTGCCTTGCCCCCCACCCTGGGTGGACCCCAAAACCTCCCCGCCCCAGGCCCCCCACACTCACCACAGCTCCAGGCCCTGGACTATACTAGCCCATCGTAGAGCGACAGTGCCTGCACGATGGAGGGGTCTGCCTTGGACCCTTCCTGGAACTCCTGCAGTGTCAGCTTCCCGTCAGCGTTCTGTGAGCAGAGAGAGGCACCTGAATGGGTGGAACCCTGGCCTCTGGGGACACGAGCCCAGGGCTGGACCCCAGAGCAGATCCCAAGCCAGGCAGCGCCAGCCAGGTCTGAGGGAAGGCACTTGGAGTGTGGCTGCCCCTGGGCCTACCCCCCATTCTCGGCCAATTCCTCACCTGAGGCCTGGGGGAGGCCACAGCACGGCTTCCTCCAGCACTGGCAAGCCCTCACACCAGCCAGCCAGACCCAGGTCTAATCCATGCTCAACCACCACTGCCATTATTGTTCCCGAAGAGCAAACAGTCTCCAGAATGCCTCTGGGGACTTTCCAGAAGGCAATGAAACCACCCCTGTGGGCCAGAACTGTGGCAGAGCCAGTTAAGCCCAGCATCCCATACAAGTTCAAGTCCCAGCTGCTCCACTTCCCATCCCCCTCCCTGGGAAAACCACAGAGAACAGCCCCAGTGCTTGGGTCCCTGCACCCATGTGAGGTGACCCGGAAGGAACTCCTGGCTCCTGATTTTGGAGCCACCCAGCTCTGGCCATCGTGGCTATTTAGGGAGTGAACCCGTGGATGGAAGATTCTCCCTCTCTCTGTAACTCTGCCTTTCAAATAAAGAATAAATTATGAAAGGAAGGACGGACAGGCGGATGGATGGAGCCTGGGACTGCCCGTCCTGGACTGTGCAAGGTGAGCAGTGACAGTGGCTCTGACCCACATGACCTGACTGCCCTTGGCTATGGGGAATACACCAGAGCCCAGAGGGCTTCCAGCAAGGAAACTGAGGCACAGTCCCTGCCTAGGACGCCACGGCTGGGAACGGGGCAAGTCAGGGGCACACTCCAGGTGCCCAAGCTGCAACCAGTTCTGCTTGCTAAAATTAGGGATAATTAGGGACAGAAAGAGGGGGAGGCGAGACGAGAGGGGGTCTGAGGACGGCATGGCCCTGGCCCTCTACAGGGGTGGATCCTCAACAGGAAGGCACTGCCCCCCACTCCACACCCTGCCCATCAATCGTTGGATCGCCAGTGAGAGCCTGGCTGGGCTGCTTGGGCACGCCCCCAACTCCCATTTCCAGCTGAGACAAGGACAAGCCCAGGACGCTGCCCTGGGTCACAGAAAAAAACATCTGCTTTGGGGAGTTTTCTGCCAGTGCATTTGCAACTTAGCATTGAAAATCAAGTGGAAAGGAAGGAAGGAAGGAAGGAAGGAAGGAAGGAAGGAAGGAAGGAAGGAAGGAAGGAAGGAAGGAAGGAAGGAAGGAAGGAAGGAAGGAAGGAAGGAAGGAAGGGGAAAGAAAGAAAGAAAGGAAAGAAAGAAAGAAAGAAAGAAAGAAAGAAAGAAAGAAAGAAAGAAAGAAAGAAAGAAAGAAAGAAAGAAAGGAAGAGAAAAAGAGAGGAAGGAGGAAAGAAAGAAAGAAAGAAAGAAAGAAAGAAAGAAAGAAAGAAAGAAAGAAAGAAAGAAAGAAAGAAAGAAAGAAAGAAAGAAAGAAAGAAAGAAAGAAAGCCCAGTGGTTTTAGCTGCTCTCAGCAGTTGGGCTTTAAGAAGGCCTGGGGCAGGGCGTGAGCATGAGATGCCAGTCTCTAAGTCGCCACCAGGGGCGCCCGCTTGGCCTCCTGCCTGGGTGGTGACCCTGCCCTGTCCCCCAGTCAGCTCCTCTTCACAGGCACCCTGGGCGGTGGCAGCGGGGCTCCCGTAGCTGGGTCCCTTCCGCCCACCCGGGAGATCCCAAGGGAGTTCTGGGTGCCTGGCCACAGACTGCTGCGGTGTCTGAGGAGGGAGACAGCAGTGAGAAGCTCGCCCCGTCCCTGTCTCTCTCGGTTTAATAAAGCACGAAGGGAGGAGAGCTGTGCACCCAGGGGTCTGTGGGTGAAGCTGTGCTGTGGGCAAAGTCAGAAGGGGAAGCTTGGCCCTTCTCTCCCCCAGCAATGAGCCAGGGGCTGGCCCCAACTGGGGCAGAAGGCCCGGACCTGTGTGTACAGCCCGCCCCAAGCCCCTGCTCTGAATGGGCAAAGGGGCCATGTGACGTCACCACAGGCTCTAGGTCAGCAACGTCGGCACGCTGCATCGCTTTCTCTGATCCTGTGGACTTCACGCGCCTGAAGCCACTGTCCCAGAATCGCCAGGGACCCACGGTGAAGTAAGACAGAGCCCGGCCAACTACAGACATCAAGTTGAACCTACTTACTCGAACTCCCCGAAGTCCTACGGACAGTGGCCATCCGTGACTCCAGGCCTCTGCCTGCTGCAAGCGGGCAGCGACGCAGGCGGGCCCAGGCTCAGGGTCTCTCAATCACCCACCAAAGCCCCTCGTGCCCTCCCTGCCCCATCTCACCTTGTCCATCATGGCGAAGATCCGGTCCACCCTCTTTTCCGGTGTGTTCTCCTCCTCAGGGAGCTCCACGGTGTTCCCCTGTCGGAACGAGCAGGCGGGGTCAGGGCGGGGTCAGCGCGGGGTCAGGGGCAGCGCGGGGTCAGGGACAGCGCAGGGGGGTCAGGGCCAGTGCAGGGGGGTCAGGGACAGTGCAGGGGTCAGGGCCAGCGCAGGGTCAGGGACAGTGCAGGGGGGCCAGGGACAGCGCAGGCAGGGCCAGGGACAGCACAGGGGTCAGGGACAGCGCAGGGGGGGGTCAGGGACAGCGCAGGGGTCAGGGACAGCGCAGGGCCAGGGACAGCACAGGGGTCAGGGACAGCGCAGGCGGGGTCAGGGACAGCGCAGGCGAGGTCAGGGACAGCGCAGGGTCAGGGGCAGCGCAGGCGGGGTCAGGGACAGCGCAGGGGGGTCAGGGACAGTGCAGGGGGGTCAGGGACAGCGCAGGGGTCAGGGACAGCGCAGGCGGGGTCAGGGACAGTGCAGGGGGGTCAGGGACAGTGCAGGGGGGCCAGGGACAGCACAGGCAGGGCCAGGGACAGCGCAGGGGTCAGGGACAGCGCAGGGGGGCCAGGGACAGTGCAGGCGGAGGCAGGGACAGCACAGGGGGGTCAGGGACAGTGCAGGGGGGTCAGGGACAGCGCAGGGGTCAGGGACAGCGCAGGCAGGGTCAGGGACAGTGCAGGGGGGTCAGGGACAGTGCAGGGGGGCCAGGGACAGCACAGGCAGGGCCAGGGACAGCGCAGGGGTCAGGGACAGCGCAGGGGGGCCAGGGACAGTGCAGGCGGAGGCAGGGACAGCACAGGGGGTGAGGTCATGGACAGCGCAGGCAGGGCTAGGGACAGCGCGGGGGGGGGGGTCAGGGACAGCGCAGGGGGGCCAGGGACAGCACAGGGGGGCCAGGGACAGCACAGGGGGGCCAGGGACAGCGCAGGCGGGGCCAGGGACAGCGCAGGGGTCAGGGACAGCGCAGGCGGGGTCAGGGACAGCGCAAGCGGAGGCAGGGACAGCGCAGGTGGAGTCAGGGACAGCGCAGGTGGGGTCAGGGACAGCGCAGAGGTCAGGGACAGCGCAGGCGGGGCCAGGGACAGCGCAGGTGGGGTCAGGGACAGCGCAGGGGTCAGGGACAGCGCAGGCGGGGCCAGGGACAGCTCAGGCGGGGTCAGGGACAGCGCAGGCGGGGCCAGGGGCTAGGGGCTCGACCTGCGGGGCTTGGGACACACAGCCCTACATCCGCCCCGGAGCTGGGCTCATTCCCCATCGGGCCACCACTCTCTCCCACCTCACCCCACCTGTGCCATCCTGCTGGGGCTGTCTGCCCAGCCCTCCCTGCCTATCTGAAACAACAGGTGCACCTGGTGCCCCCCTCCGGCCTGCAGGAAGTGGCAGCCAGGGACCTCCCCCACCTCCCACCCACAGGCCTTACCACCATCTGGTAAATGGCATCCACGATGTCCAACATCTCATTCCTGGTGATGTAGCCATCATTGTCCAAGTCATACAGCTTGAAAGCCCCTGGCAGTGAGTGGCAGAGGCTGAGCTGTGCCTGACCCTGGGGCACAGGTAGGCTCCTTGGGCACCCCCCACCCTCTGCACCTCCATGGGTGTCCGTAGTCAGCAGGAAGTACCAGCAGCACAGACAGGGGCACACATGCCACAGGCACCAGGTAGGTGCCAGGTCTGCCAGGGTGGGCACTGCAGGGCCTGGTACCCTCTGTGAGTGCCAGCTAAGCCCCAGACCCCACCAAGGGTGGAATCTCTCTCCACCAAGCCGTGATCCACACGTGTCGAATGGCCGCGCTTATACAGAAGCGAGCAAGTGAAATCCGCCATCCAAACATCAACTCTGCCAGAGGGGGTCAGCCCTGGAACCGGGTCTCGGGGCCCTCGTGCACAGATGGAGGCCACCTGCCCAGGGCTGCAGCCCCGGCCTCTGCGGTCACGCCACGGTCTCAGGCGCCCCCGCCTGGTGAGGATGGAGGACTGCATCCCTCTGGCCTGGGACAAAGGGGACAGGACTTACAACGCAGCTTCTCATCCAGAGTGCCCCTTGAGGTCACCGACAGCGCCTGGATGAACTCGGAGAACTCGATCCGCCCATCCTGACGGAAGAAAGAGGACAGCCCTGCTCAGCACTGGGCTGCCTGGTCAGGCCACACCTTGCAAGGCAGGTGACAAGTGGCAGTCGCATGTGCCTGTAGAGCACAAATATGCAGGATGCATGTACACACGTGTTCATGCACTGCACACATGTGTGCATTTTGTGTGCACGGGAGTGCCTTCGGAAGGAGGCAAGCACCAGCATGGCAGAGCGGGCGAGGAGGCACTGTGGCTGCCGCCGGAGAGAGGTGGCTCTGCCGTTCCCCACTGCCAGCTCACCTTGTTCTCATCAAAGACGTTGAAGACAAACGTGGCGAACTTGGTGGGGTCCCCGAAGGGGAAGAACTGCTTGTAGATCTTCTGGAAGCCGGCAGCATCCAGCTGCCCACTGGGGCAATCTTTGATGAAGCCTTTATACCTGCAGGCGGCAGACCAGGAGAGTTGGGAAACAGGTGCCAACCTCACCCTCCTGCCAGGAGCTCCGGGTGAGACCCAGGCTCGGGGGTGCACACCAGGCGAGATGGGGAACAGGTGCCAACCTCACCCACCTTCCAGAAGCTCCAGGGGTGGCCTGCACACCAGGGCTACCTCCCACCTCCACCTCTGACCAGCGGCCATGTGACCTGGGCCAGGCAGCTTCAGCCCTACAAGCCCCATCTGCCTGAGCCTGATGGAGCGAGGCTGTGCCCCGAGCACCAGGTTGTAAACCTCTGCATTCCCCATGGGGGCTGAGTCACGCGCACAATCGCCCATCCCCAACCCCTGCTCCTGGCCCCAAAGAGCAGCCACCTAGACCAGCAGCCGGCTCCTCCACCTGCTGCCCTTCTTCCCGCCCCAGTCCCTGCTGCCAGGAAACCAGGCAGATGTCAGAGCAGCCCAGGGAGCTCCCAGGGGACTCTGGTTTGTCCCACCTGCTTGGCCCACGCCATACACAGGACCCTCCAGCTGCCCAGGCTGTCGGTGGTGACATGGCTTTGTCCAGTTCAAATTTCTGCCATGCAACTTTGGGGCTCTCTGAGCCTCGGCCACCTCATCTATCAGAAGGGACACTCTTCAGATTCTTCTTCCCAGAATGGCGTGCCACAAGGCCACGGCCACAGGGCTGGATGGGACAACATAGCAGCACTGACCCCTACAAATACCAACACAGCCTGACACCCACTGTCAGCCAGCTCCCATGCGGGCAGCTTACAGGTCCCCCCAAGTGGGAAGCACCCCAGGAAGGCCAGAGAGAGAGGTCGGCTCTTCCCACACCCCCTCTCCAGCCACACTCCAGCCTCTTCAGGGAACTTGGCAGACCCACTCTCCCGGCACCCCCAGAGCAAGGTACTACCAGGAAACCCCTTTAGCTTCTTTTTATTTACTTATTTGAATGGCAGATTGACAAGGGAGAACTTCCATCCACTGGGCCAGGCCAAAGCCGGGAGCCTCTAATTCCATCCAGGTCTCCTATGGGGGACGCAAGGGCCCAAGTGCCATCCTCTGTCACTTTGTCAGGTGCCTGAGCAGGGAGCTGGTTGGGAAGCAGTCAGGACTTGAACCCAGGGCCTGGGTATAGAATAGGGCATCCCACAAGTCGGCTTAACCCACCACACCACAACATCCTCCATGGGAGGCACATTTTGCAGGTGAGGCAACTGAGGCTCCTGGAGCTGGAAACAGCAGAGCTGGATCGTGGCAGGCGGGCATGCGTTGTGCCTGTGCTCTGGACTGACCAGCGGCAGTCTGCTCTCTGCACTGGCAACCGAGGACATGGGAGCTCGGGGCCTGGGGTTGCCATGGCGCCATGGCTGGGTGCACAGGTAGAGGCAGAACATGGGGAGCCTCCTTCATGCCCACCGTGGGACGGGGTGAGGCTGGCGAGGCCCCTGAGAGTGGACACGTGCAGGAAGTTTCCTCCGGGAGCTGGGGGCAGGTCCTCCTCGGACCTCCCAGCACTAGGTCCAAGGAACCCATTTCACGGATGAAGGCACAGAGAGTAAAGAACTGGTAGCATGTGGGACTTGGCGCCTGCACACCAATGGTCAGCTGCTGCTCCAGCGTCGGTGACTACTCACGTGTGATGTCCCCGCATGCAGCTGCCGCCTGCTAGGGGTCTACCAGCCCCTGCAAGTCCCCAGGTGGACCACACCAGAAGGAAACTAAACTGGGGACAGCTGGGGACAGTGACACAAAACCTTTCCCATAACAGAACAAAGGCCCACACTCCTCAAAAGCCACCTCCTCCCAGCAGCCTGCCCAGTGCCAGTGAAGCTCAAAGAGAAGACCCAGTCCCTACGGACAGCAGCCCCTTGCCAGCTGGAACCCCGGGCAGGGAGCAGGGCCTGCCCAGCACCAGGACTTCACGATGGGAACAAGGCACAGCCACCATCTGTGGACGGCTCTCCTCCCATCCTCCACAGGGCGGCTGTCACGGGAGGGAAATGGAAAGGAAAGAACAGAGGGACAGTCAAAGGCACCCAGAGGCGGCTGCCGGGGCGTCTCCGCAGATGGCTCCTCGAGGGGGAGGGCTGTGCGCAGGCCCAGTGGGAGCCGCCTGGCCAGCAGCCGGTGGGGGCAGGGGCCTGCGGGGAAGCTAGCTCAGTGGGGAGTCAGACCGGGCCACCCCAGGAGGTGATACCCACACCCCCATGCTCCACCCCAAACCCATTCTCACCCTCCAGGCCAAGCCCCACAAAACACCTGCCGAGCTGAGGGGCAGCAAGCATCCTGCTAGACCAGCTCAGATCCCCATTTTCTGATCAAGCTTCCACATTAACCTCCCTCTCACCCACAGGTGTAAGTGCTGGTCCCACCTTCAGCAAGCAGCCGGAAGTCCGTTCAGTAATTTTCCACCCACGTCCTCATAGCTACAGATCCCCTCTCAGAGCTGAGCCCCAACTCTTTCTTCCTGGGACAGTCCTGACACCTGCTGTGTGCCTCCTCATGTCGTGTAGAAGGTTAAAGAATTGTCTGTTTTTAATCTGAGAGACAGATGGCTCACTGCCCAGCTGGGGTAGAATCCAGTCCGAGCCAGGAGCCACATACTCCATCCGGGTCTCTGCCCCACCCCTGTCCCTGGGGGTTGGCAGGGACCCAAGCACTTGAGCATTCCTCTGCTGTCCCCCAGGTGCACCTTGCAGGAAGTGGGAGTCAGGAGGCAGAGCTGGACAAGGGACCAAGCCCTTGGATGCGGGATGCAGGCGTCAGAACACTCGACTTGGCACCCACTGCCTTGTGTCCAAGTGAGGCACGAACAGAGTGGAAACAGCGGCTGCAGTGGGTTGAGCTGCCACTGCAACACCAGCAGCCGATGTGGGAGTGCTGGTTTGAGACCCAGCTGCAACACTTCCAATCCAGCTTCCAATCCAATCTACTCATGCACCTGGGAAAATAGCAGAGGCTGGTTCAAAGCTAGGGCTCTACCAACCCCCTGGGACACCCGGATGGAATTCCAAGCTTCAGTCCAGCATTTGAGGGAGGGAAGCCACAGGTGGAAGATCTGTTCTGTCTCTCCTCTTTGTCGCTCTGCCTTTCATGTAACTAAGCCTTGGAGGGGAGGAAAAGTTGGGGAGGGGGCTTGCTGTGGTGGTTTCCAGGCAAGGCCCTGGGAGGCTACAGGAGTAACAATGACGGCCTCCTGGGGGCTCTTTAAGAAGGGGAGGGACCAGACAGGAAGCTGTCTCTGCCAGGGACAGACATGTGGCCCCTTGACCTTGGACCAGAGCCATGAGCCAAAGTCTGAGTTGCCTCCTGTGTGCCATCGGGGCAGACAACCGGCCCAAAGCTGGAGAACCCCTCACAGGACCTGTTAACACTTGTTAACAAGTGTCCAAGTAACTTCCTTTCATACCAGCTCACAGCTCACATACCAGGCCCCAACTGATAGGGAAGTCGGTCCAGGTCTCGGAACTGAGGCTGTGGGTCCCTCCTGCTTGCAGGCCCCTTACACGTCCACATCACAGCACAGACCACGCAGCCAAGACAGCTGCCCTCCCCCCACCACACCGAGCCGTGACGCCCCCTGAGATGCAAGCTCCTCGGCACCTTGTGTGTGAGGCCTGGCACACGGCACGGAGTGCGCTGGGGCTGGCAGGTGCACTGGATGAGGGTGACAAGCCACCAAGCAGGGGAGGGGACTTGGAGCACCCAGGTGTCTGGTGGATTTGTCCTGAGCCCCAGGGACGCCGACACAAGCTCATGAGCCCTGTGGGGATCCATACTGAGAGCGCAGAGGGGGAGCAGGACCCGCCCAAGGTCACACAGTAAGCCAACCAAAGGAAGGCGGGCTTGCAGCCAGGGCGGCTGCCTCCCCGGCTGCCCGCCCCAGGGGGAGCGCGTGAGCAATGCGGCTGCTACCCAAATATTACGTAACTCAGAAGCCGGAGGAGGGCATCAGCCTCGGCTACAGCAGGTGTGAGAGGGGGCTGAACGCTCCCAGACACCCGCAGGACACCCAGCCCCAGCTCTGAGGCCGGCAACGCAGGCCAAGGGCTAACAGGCTGCCGGTGTCTGGACCCCGGATCACGCACCTACCCGCTCACCCATCCAATGGGACCCCCCAGGGTGCATCTTCATCCCCAGGAAAACAAGGAATGTGACCATGCCCAGTCAGGGCCCAGAGTCACGCTCCAACAGGCCCAGGCCTCTTCCTCTCCCCTGCCAGGTGCCCAGGGTTGCAGGCTCAAGCCCCAGACCTTGCACACTCTGGGAGGGGTTCTGTGCAAACCCCAAGCAACATTCTTCCTTTTCCTGAAGGTATGAGAAGTGGCTCTGTAACCAGCCACGTTGGACACCCGGTGCCCACTGCCACTGCCTGGCCACTGAGGACCCCTGCCCACATGGGGGTCTGCACAGGTGCCTCCCAAGCGCCCCGACCCAAGCATCAGGCGCCATTGTGAGCATGGGGCACCGGGCTCTGGGCTTGGCTGGTACAACAGTGCCAAATCATCCCAACAAACTCAAGAGATGAGGACAATTCTGCCCACTTTATGGAAGGGGAAGCTGAGACCTGTGTGACCCCAAGTCAAACAAAGGTGCAGAGCTACCCAATGGGGCGGCTAAGCTAGATCCAAAAGACCCCAAAAAACAAGTGGAGCCAGGACATGGAAATGTGGGCTGGCCATATTCCCGGCACTCCAGGGCCACCAGCAGGTGCCTAAAGCCCTCAGGGAGCCTCCTTCCCCAGCACCTGCTGCCTGAGCCCAGGTGGTGGGAGGAGGGGACAGGAGTCCTCCCACAGCATGCAAGGTGTAGAGCCCTCCCCTCACTGTGGGCTCCGCTCAGACCTGGGAGACAGGCAGCCTGGTGCCACAGGGAAGTCCCACTGCAAACCAGCTCTTGGAGTGACCAGCACAGTCAGAAGTCAGGGACCATGCAGGCCTTGGCAGAGCACCTCCAGGCAGACCCCTCACTGCAGGCCAGGGCTTTGGGCACACA